ATTTTGCCAATGCTCTGACTATGAATGTGTATCATAAGAACAGTTCTCATAAAGGGGAGAGAAGGTACAGAAAATAAGTAGCATAGACAGTAGATAGAAAATAGATAGGGGGAGGGTAAGAATAGTAGGGGAAATATAGAATCTAAAGAACTTGAGACACGTGTTCATGAACTAGAGGGGGGGAATGGTAGGGGAGGGGTGTGCAGGGTGGAGGGGAACGGAGGGGGGAATAGAACAACATATGTAATGGCATAATCAATAAAATAAAAAATTAAAAAAAGGAACAGTTCTCATAAAATCTATTTCGCTCCCTTTTTTCCTGGTCTTCTAGAATAAAGCTATTCAGCCTATAAAATTTCCAGTTGTACATCAGCAAGAAGTGAAGATTTATTTTCCTATCAAGCTTACACCCAACTTTCTGGCATTTCCTCATCACCCTATGGGAATATTATATCGTTATAAAGTACAGGTATGTTATCCTATAACATGAGAATTCACAAGGAGATAAGTCAGTTTCTCTGATCACTTAATTTATTGATATGTGGCTAATTTAAAATTTTATTTCCCTCTAGTGTTACTGGGTTGGTCAAAAAGTCCATTTGGTTTTTTAAGTAAAAGACATTTTTCATTTTCACCAATAAACTGTATTGATGTAGATATTTTGAGTATGTTGGCTATCTCCCACATGGGGTTTTTCTTTTTTCTTTTGTTATTGTTTTTTTTAATGTAATAGAATGTCTTTAAAATTCATCCGTGTTGTGTCATGTGTTAAATTTCTTGCCTTATTTTTTAATATACTTTATTGACTATGCTATTACAGTTGTCCCATTTTTTTCTCCCCTTTATTCCATTCTGGCCTATACCATCCCTCATACCATCATTCCCCCACCTTAGTTCATGTTCATGGGTCATTCATATAAGTTCTTTGGCTTCTCCATTTCCCATACTATTTTTAACCACCACTTGTGTATTTGTACCTACCATTTATGGTTCTTATTCCCTGTACCTTTTCCCCAATTCTCTTCCCTCCTTTTCTCCACTGATAACCCTCCATGTAATCTCTATTTCTGTGAATCTGTTCTTGTTCTAGTTGTTTGCTTAGCTCATTTTTTGTTTTTGCTTTTTTAGGCTCAGTTGTCGATAGCTATGAGTTTGTTTTCGTTTTACTGTTCATGTTTTTGATCATCTTCTTTTTCTTAGATAAGAAATATTTCATTAATATTTCATGTAATAAGGGCTTGATGATGACGGACTCCTTTAACTTGACCTTATCTGAGAAGCACTTTATCTGCCCTTCTATTCTAAAGGATAGATTTGCTGGATAGAGTAATCTTGGATGTAGGTCCTTGCCTTTCATGACTTTGAATACCTTTTTCCAGCTCCTTCTTGCCTGTAAGGTTTCTTTTTAGAAATCGGCTGGTAGACTTATGGGCACTCCTTTGTAGGTCAGTGTATCCTTTTCTCTTGCTACTTTTAAAATTCTCTCCTTACCTTTAATCTTGGCTAATGTAATTATGATGTACCATGGTGTGTATTTCCTTGGGTCCAACTTCTTTGGGACTCTATGAGCTTGCTGGGCTTCCGGGAAGTCTATTTCCTTTGCCAGATTGGGGAAATTCTCCTTCATTATGCTCTCAAATAAGTTTTCTATTTATTTCTCCTTTTCTTCTTCTGGCACTCCTATGTTCGGATGTTGGAACATTTAAAGTTGTCCCAGAGGTTCCTAAGCCTCTCCTCATTTTTTTGAATTCTTGTTTCTTCATTCTGTTCTGGTTGAATGTTTATTTCTCCCTTATGTTCCAAATCATTGATTTGAGTCCCAGTTTCCTTCCCTACATTGTTGGCTCCCTTTATTTCACTTTGCATAGCCTTCAATTTTCCCTCCATTTTGTGACCATACTCAACCAATTCTGTGAGCATCCTGATTACCAGTGTTTTGAACTCTGCATCTGATAGGTTGGCTACCTCTTCATCATTTAGTTGTATTTTTTCTGGAGCTTTGATCTGTTCTTTCATTTGGGCCCTATTTTTTTGGCCAAGGCTACCTGTTACATAGTAATGGTGGAGCCTTAGATATTCACCAGGGCAAGGCAATCCATCTCACTGTATTGTAGCACTGAATGTGGGGGAGGGGTCTGAGAGGGAACGAGGCCAGCTTTCAGTCACTTTCTCAGCGATCCACAAGCAAATTGCACCCTTCTGGTACTGATTCCCAGGTGGGGTTGTGTATGTTGGAAGACCCTGTGGCTCTCTCCAGTGAACTCTTCTGTGAGGCTGGGAGTTTCTCCTGTAGCCGCAACCCCCACAGATTTTTTCAGTCAGAGGTTTTAAGGTTTTATTTTCCCACACTAGAACCCTGGGTTGATTGGTTGGTCTCACTCTGTAGTCGTTCCTCCTCATTTATCCACATGCAAATGTGGAACTACCAGGTCTGCCAGCAATCACCTTGCCTGACCTAGTCATCCAGTTGTCAGTCTTACTGCAAGTCCTCTCCACTCTGGCTGCCCATCTCCACCCCTCCTACCAGTCTAGATGAATATTTCTTCTTTAACTCCTTGTTTGTTGGACTTCCTTACAGTTTGATTATCTGGCAGTTCTGGTTGTTTTTGTTTTTAAATTTGTTGTTTGTCCTTCTTTTGATTGTGCAAAGAGGCAAAGTGTATCTACCCATGCCTGCATCTTGGCCAGAAGTCCCCAAATTTTCTAACATTGATTATTATCAATTAATGTCTCAGTTTGCCCTCTATCAACTTCAACTGGTCTACCCGACCATGGAGCATCATCCAGTGAAAAATCTCCAGCATGGAATTTCACAAATCACTTTTGACACATTCAGTCAGTCACGGCACCTTCTCCAAATATTGCACAAATCTTTTTTTTTTGCATTTCAGTTGCATTTTTGCCTTTCTTGAAATAATAAAATATAATATGTGGAAAATGTTGCTTATTTTCCTCCATCTTCAATATTAAAATGGCTACACAAAAATTCAGCAATTTTGGTAAGTTTTTTTAATGCACACTAATATAACAGCTGTCGCAATACAATCTAACAAAATAGTTTCAAATGAAGTTAAAGACAACTAAGCATTACCAGAGTCATTGTACAGAAAAAAGCAAATGAACTCTTTGGCCACCTCAATAGCATAATTCAGCTTTCGGTGACAACCAGATCACGCTCTTGAATACTGTCATCCTGACAAGACTCAGTATACTTTCTGCCTTCTATTTATCCTTGTCTTGTAAGTATTATAAAGTTTCATCAAGCTTCCTTGTACCCTTTTTTGACATTTTGTGACACTGCCATTACATAACCTCCTTTCAGCATTTCCCTTTCTTTTCTTACTGGTACTATAACATCACAGTTTCTTCATGTGTCCAGAAATAATTTATTATATATTTTTAGCATTCCTTAAACTTTATTTTACTAGATTTTACAGCTTCCCCTAAATTACATTTTTCTCCTATAGTAATTCAATATAAGTTGGCATTTTTTCACAGGTAGAGGGTGGCAGTGGCAACTTCACCTGGACCTCTTCTAATGAAACAGTGGCCATGGTAACCACTAAAGGAGTGGTGACTGCAGGTCAGGTCAGGGGCAACAGCACTGTTTTTGCCCGAGATGTACAAAATCCCTTTCGATATGGAGAAATGAAGGTAAAGAACTCTCCAAAGAACCTACTGCTGTCTAATTCTTTTTTCTTTTTCTCTCTCTCTTTTTTTACTTTTTCTGCTGTCTAAATTAAGAATACAGTAACACATTTAAATTTCTCTCTAGTCCAAATTGGCATTTTTAAAAATGATGATCAAATTCAATCTGGAAGTACATATAAAGTATTCTTGTCCTAGATTCAATCTTGCTTCACTTAATAGCTAGTTATTTAATGTCTACATTTGTTTTCTCTTCTCTAAAATGGAGATAATGATAGTATCACATAAAAGGATTATTGTCAGAGTTAAATGAGAAGATCCCTGGCTGGTGTGATTCAGTGGATTGAGCACTGGGCTGTGAACCAAAGGGTCACCCGTATGATTCCCAGTCAGGGCACATGCCTGGGTTGTGGGCCAGGTCTCCAGTAGGCAGCCACACATTGATGTTTCTCCCCCTCCCTTCTCTTCACTCTAAAAATGAATAAATAAAATGTTTTTTTAATTAAATGAGATGATGTTTACCCTGATGCTTCAGATATATTTATAACTTAATGTTACCTATTTTTATTGTTGTATTATGTTATTATCACATATATAACTTTTACAGTGTCATGTTTTGTGCATTATATGCACATAGTGCACACTTTTTTTCCCAAATATTTGAGGGAAACATAATGATGTGCATTATATATGGGTATCATGATTACATACCATGGGTTAATAATGAGGGTATAATAATCCTGTGTATAATGCACACAAAAACGTGGGTGCACATTACACACAACAAAATACAGTAACTTTATCTCTGGTTTCTTTTTTTTTTTTTTACTTTTTTATCCTTACCTGAAGACATGTTTAGAGGGGAAGAGAGGGAGAGAGAGAGGGAGAGAAACATCAGTTGGTTGCCTCTTGCACACTTCCCAACTGGGGACTGAACCTGCGATCCTGACTGGAAATCCAACCTACAACTTTTTGGTTTATGGGATGCTGCTCCAACCAACTGGGCCACACTGGCAAGGGCTCTGGTTTCATATATTTGTTTGTCAGGCTTGTTTTTAAAAGATTGAAAAGTCTTTTTTACTGTATTATATATAACTGTTTTTCTCCTACCTTTAATATATGTTAATGTATGTTGCTGTTCCTTGCAGTATTTAGCATTTTGTTATCATTCAAATATTTATTGAGTACCCTTGGACACTTAATACCATGCCAGTATCATAGCACCTTCAAAGACATACATCCCTACCTTAAAGAATCTAAAGTCTAACTAGGAAGATATATTTCCAGGAAAAGTTAAATGACATTTTAAGAAAATGATATATGAGGTATTCTACCCTTAAAAAGTTAGACTTGTGCTTGCTTTGGCAGCACATATACTAAAATCGGAACAATACAGAAAAGATTAGCATGGCCCCTGTGTGAGGATGACACGCAAATTAATGAAGCATTCCATATTTTTTCTGTTGGTGGGATTGCAGACTGGTACAACCACTATGGAAAACAGTATGGAATTTTCTCAGAAAACTAAAAATGGATCTACCTCTTGAACCAGCAATTCCACTGCTAGGATTATATCCCAAGAGCCATGAAACACCAATCCAAAAGAACCTATGCACCCCAATGTTCATAGTAGCACAATTTACAATAGCCAAGTGCTGGAAGCAACCTAGGTGCCCATCAGTAAATGAATAGATGAAAAACTGTGGTACATTTACACAATGAAATTCTATTCAGCAGAAAGAAAGAAGGAGCTCCTACCCTTTGCAACATCATGGATGGAACTGGAAAGCATTATGCTCAGTGAAATAAGCCAGGCGGTGAAAGACAAATACCATATGATCTCACCTTTAACAGGAACCTAAACAATAAAACAAACAAGCAAACAAAATACAACCAAAAACACTGAAATAGAGAACAGACTGATGGTGACCAGAGGGGACAGGGGAGAGAATTTCAGGGGAAAAGGGGAAGGGTCTACAGGAACAAGTATAAAGGACACATGGACAAAAACTAGTGGGGAGGGGAGGGAGGTAGGGAGGGTTGGGTGGGTAGGCTGAGATGGGAGTAAAAGACAGAAAACTGTACTTAAACAACAATTAAAATAAAATTTTAAAAAATTAGACTTGATAGTTACTTGAATTATAAAATAAAAGTGTTATTAGTTTATAAAAGAAAAATCCTTATAGATGTGACCAGTTGGAGACTATCATGAAGAGGTAGGGAAGTCCCAACAAGACTTCGAACAATGGATCTAAACTAAGGCTTGAGAGTCAAATTCAACCTGCTGCCTTTTGGTAAATAAAGTTTTACCAGAACACAAACTCTTTCATTCATTTATGTATTATCTATAGCTGCTTTCACACCACAACTACAGAGTGGGTAGTTGCCACGGAGACCCTGTGGCTTCCAAATCCTAAAATATTTGCTATCTAGCCCTTTACAGAAAATATTTGCTAGTGATGGCTGGTGTGGCTCAGTGGACTGAGTGCCAGCCTGAGAACCAAAGGGTTGCCAGCTCAATTCCTAGTTTAGGGCACACACCTGGGTTTCAGGCCAGGTCCCCAGTAGGGGGTGCGCAAGAGGCAACCACATATTGATGTTTCTCTTCCTCTCTTTCTCCTTCCCTTCCACTCTCTAAAAATAAATAAATAAAATCTTTTTAAAAAAGAAAAGAAAACATCTGACCCCTGTGATAGATGGTGGGAAATCAACACAGATTTTTAATAAGACTAATAGTATGGTAAAACCTGTATTTGGAAAGATATGTAATTATTTTTATAGGTAGATAATAACAACTATATTTTAAAAGGAACAAAAGATAATTGCTGGTGCTATATACTAGTAGAGTAGAATGGATGGAAGGAAAAAAGTGAAAGCAAAATGTCCAGTTAAGCCTGAGCTAATGAAATTGAGGTTTACTTTAGAGGTAGCCTTAGTCAAATTTGATGCCCAGTGGGATGGGGAAGAGTGAAAGATTTAAAGACACAGAGGTTTCCAGCTTTGCCAACCAAGTAGATAGAAACACAAGAAAAGGGGGGAAAAAAAAGGAAGGTGATGAATTCAGTTTTGGATGCATTAGTATGAAGCACCAATGGAGCAACCACGAAATAGGGTAAGCTATGGCCGGGTAGGTCAGTTGGTTAGAGCATCCTCCCAATACGCCAAGGTTGTGAGTTTGATCCCTGGAAAGGGCACATACAAGGGTCAATCAATGAATGCATAAATAAGTAAAACAACAAATTGATGTTTCTCTCTGTCTCCTCCCCACTTTGTGTCTCTAAAATCAATAAATAAAATTTAAAAGAAATAACAGGAAATAGGGGTCTGAAAGACAACTGAAAGATTAGGGCTAGAGATAAAATATTTGGAGCTATCAGCATATGATTGGTTATTGAAGTTCTGGAACTAGATCAGATTTTTCAAAAAAAGGCATATAGAGTCAGAATATATGTTACTTAAAGAGACATAGGCAGAATAAGAGGAACTAGCTGAAGAAAGAAAGTGACCAAAAAAGACTTTGGGCTGCAATGAAAAGCTACCAAAGGCTGGGTGGCTTATAACCAGCAGAAATCTCTTCCATTATTTTTTTCTTTAAATCCTCGCCCATGCCCTGGCTGGTGTGGCTCAGTGGATTGAATGCTGGTCTGCAAACTGAAAGGTCGCTGGTTTGGTTCACAGTCAGGGCACATGCCAGGTTTGTGGGCTGGATCCCCAGCTGAAGATATTTGAGAGGCAACTGATTCATGTTTCTCTTGCACATTAGTGTTTCTCTCTCTCTCTTTCTGTCTTCCTCTTCCCTTCTCTCTAAAAATAAATGAGTAAAATCTAAAAAACTTTTTAAATTTTTACCTGAGGATATATTTATTGATTCCAGAGAGAGAGATGAAGGGAGGGAGAGACAAAGGGAGAGAAACATCAATATGAGAGAGAACATTGACCAGCTGCCACCCATATGAGCCCCAATCAAGGACCAAACCCACAACATAGGCAGGTCCCTTGAGGAGAATCAAACCTGCAAAGGTTTGGTTTACAGCGCAGGTAGCAAACACAAGGCCTGCGGGCCAAATCCAGCCCTCCACCTTGTTTTATCCGGCCTGGCACCTTGTTTCTACCCAGCGTCATCACTGAGCTCCTTGCCCCTAGTTAATTAGTGGTTACATTTATAGAGTCCTAAAATTACATTCAGCCCTTTGAAGGCAACCGTGAGGCTGATGTGGCCGCAGGTGAAAATGAGTTCGACACCCCTGGTTTACAGGATGCTGCTCCAACCAACTGAGCCACACTGGTCAGGACCAACAGAAAGTTCTCAGTTTTGCAGTCTGGGAAGGCCAGAATCAAGGCACCAGCAGATAGTGTCTGGTGAAGGAAAGCTTTCTGGTTCATAGAAGACTGTTTTTGCTGTAAACTCACATGGTAGAAGGGACTAGGGACCTCTGTGGGTTCTCTTATATAAGAGCATGCATCCCATTTATAAGGCCTTGTCACCTCCCGAAGGCCTCACCTCCTAATATCATCACTTTGGGGATTTGGATTTCAACACATGAATGGTGGGGGGAACATAAGCAATCTATAGCAAAATCAAAATAAAAAATATTTTTTTTCAATATCAAGAAAGAGGAATATATCTATATCAGAGGTCAGCAAACTTTTTCTTTAAAGGGCCATATAGTAAATATCTTAGTATTTTGTAGGCTACATACACTCTCTATCTTACATTCTTTTTTTAAAGATTTTATTTGTTTTTAGAGAGAAGGGAAAGAAGGGAGAAGGGGAGGGAGAGAAACATTGATTTACAAGAGACTTATCAATTGGTCTCCTCTCACACCCCCCAGCTGGGGACCTGGCCCACAACCCAGGCCTGTGCCCTGACTGGAAAGCCAACTGGCCACCCTTTGGTTTGTAAGCACTCATTCCACTGAGCCACACCAGCCAGGGTTATATTCTTCTTGCTATTGTTGTTTCATCTTACAACCTTTAAAAATGTAAAAACCATTTTTAGCTTACAAAAGCTAAGAAAATTACACACTGGCCATAATTTGCCAGAACCTGCTGTATGATGTTAGATGCTTTAGAGAGATCAATTGATCAAGGAATGAAATGAGTCACATATTTGGCACCTACCACACACACACATATATCTTGAATAGTATTTTTATATAAAACATACATATGAACATATATGTATGTATTTAAATATTTATGGGATGCTTTCTTCTAAGACTTTTCTAATATAACTTCCTTGAAAGATGAATTTTTTCCCCCTCTAGATATATGTCCTGAAACTGAGCAAAATGGAACTGTTACCATTTCATGCTGATGTGGAGATTGGCCAGCTCATAGAAATCCCCATTGCTATGTATCACATAAATAAGGAGACCAAAGAGGCCATCCCATTCACAGACTGCTCTCATTTATCCTTGGATCTAAACATGGATAAGAAAGGAGTCTTTGCTCTTCTCAAAGAAGGTAAGTGTAGGCTGTTTATTTTTTCTTTTCTTTGTTTTTGAAGTAAAGGACAAATCGTCAGTTCAGAAACTACAAATTATAGTCTAAATTCACATATTACCTTTTCTTCGCAGTAATTTTATTTATTCTGTCAACTGCCTTGTGGTTGGTGCTATAATGTAATGCAGAAAGAGACAGAGGCACAGAAATTGGGTAACATGTCCTGGGTCCATTGTGGCCAGACAGTATCAGTTTTTAATTCATATTAAGGTCTTCTGTTTCTAGCTTCAAGCTCTTCTCCTTTTTTTCCTTTAGTATATATATCATACCTCTTCTAAGGGTAATGGAGTGCCCTTCAATATATGTGCATACGTATATTTTAAATTTATTCAAAAAAGAAAATATGTTGTATTTTAATAAAGATATGAATAAGTTATTCATGAAGATCAATATCATTTTCTGTTATTGAACTTCATATTTAATCATGATCACCATTGTTATTCATCAGTACAATGACAGTAGTAGCATCTGGCATTTAAGTAAATGCTAAGTAGCATTTGCTGTTTCCTAGGCTTTTTTCTGAATACTTTCATATATGAACTCATTTAATTTTCAGTACATCCGTGTGGTTTCCATCAACTTGGACTTCTCCCTTGCCCTTGCTAATTATAATATAGTATCACTCATAGCTCTTTCCTCTCCTCTATTCTCAAGTTCTCTCTCCTAATTTTTAGACCCTCATTATCTCTCATCTGGGGTATAACAATGTCCTCCTATTTTTATTTTTGATTGTGATGATCATGGCTATCAGATGGATCTTCATGAAACTTAACTTTGATATTACTTTTCCTGCTCAAAAATTTTGAGAGGTTTTCATTGCCAGTGAAATAGGGCTGGAATCCTTTTAATGTAGTGTTCTAGGTCCTCTTCAATGTAAAGCAACCTGCTTTTCACAAGTATATACTTTAGCTTCATATATGGCTCTAGCTAAACCAACTACTTCAGCTTGAATTT